ACCGCGCAGCGCGCCGCCCCCGCGCGGACGCCTCCGCCGGAGTCCTGTTTGGGGGAGCGAAAAAGTAGTTCTGCCGGCCGAAGGGACGTGGGGACCATCCAGCCCCGGGAGTCCCGCCCGCCGACCCTCCGTCGTCCCCAGGGCCCTGCGAATGCCGGAGATCTGTACTTTGGAGTCTGGCTTCTACGAACTCGGCTTTAACCGGAGACCACCAAAGAGCACGCCCCCAAACCCAAGGAGTCCGGGATGAGAGGCTCTTTGGAAATTACCCACCCCAACTCATAGAAACGTATTCCTTAAGGGAGCTTGCCTGTTATTATTTTCCGATGACACGTAGAGGCCGCTTTTGACTGATGGAAGCAAACTTAGGTCGGGGTCCCTGGACACCTTTCCTCCCTTAGGAAACAGACCCCAGCATAGAGAGGTTTTGGCCTTGGCCGCTCACCTGGGGCACCTGCTGGCCTCATCCCAGGACAGGGGCTGCAGTGCCCAAGTCTTGGCTGCCCCGGGAGGGCTGGAGGATGGGAGGGCTGGGGAGAGAGAATTTGGGAACTGGAGTCAGGATTTCTTCGTATAATGTTGCTTTTAGGCTGCTTCTGCCTTGGCAAAATGAAATATATTATTTGCCAGATTGAGCAAGCATGGTGCTTTCCACAGGGACTTAACAAGCTTGCTGTGGAAAGAAATGGGAGCAGAAAGTAAAGTATACTTATACTGTAAATAGCATTACATTTCTCTTTGAAGAGCCCCCAAATTTATTTATTCCTTCCTTCCTTCCTTTCTTTCTTTCTTTTTCTTCTACTGGGTAGATTTAGATATCCATCTAGTTTTATGATTGCATAATTCTGGATTGTAGGGATTCAAGTACCATATACAATATATTTCTTCAGTTCCGCCTGCAAACATCTGAAGTGGCTCTTTATCCAACTATTTTCAGACTTTTTTTTTTTTGAGTTCAAACCTGTATTGGTGGGTAAGGATCTTGGGCCTTTTTGTGGAAATCAAGTGGCAAAGCAAATCTAATGAACAGTCGATGTCGAGAGGGAAAACAATTACCTCTTAACAATGCTGTTTCTAAAAGTCAGTCTGCAACAGTGCATGAAAGGATCATTATCCCTGAATAGATGCATGAGCTAAGGTTGACGTTAGAACTGGGTTTTTAAAAAAAGGAAAAGATAAACAGAGGCCAAAGATGACTCTTTATTGCTTGTTTTTTTTTTTAAATTCAGGGCACAGCCAGCTAATTTTGTAATGTTTATTCTGGGAAAGAATAGAAGCAGATTAGGGTTCCAAGCCACTTTCCTAATGATCAGACCAGGACACATTGCCACCTGCTGGTATACCCTAGCATGATAATTCTATCCTGAAAACTTAAGTTTCGTATTTTCTATACCTAACTGGAAAGAGCTCCACCCATCTATATACAATGACCAAAATACAGATCTTATCCTCGAACTTACATCTTTTTTAAACATACTAAATATGTTTCTAACCCTATTCTAATAATTTTACAGCGTGGATATCATATTAATTGGACCCAATGACTCATCAAATCATGCATTTTAAAATTGAGTTCCCCTTTTCCCTTCAAGAATGCTTCACTACATGAGCTTCAGGAATAAAACAGACTGGGAAAGTTTCCTAATTCACCTTCTCTTCCTTGCATACAAAACCTCTTGGCAGGCTGGTTTCAAGGTCTTTCCAAACTTAAACAGACCCAAAGTTCTAGCTGTGAGCAAAGAGAGCATTTGCTGTGGGAAAGCTTCGGAAGATGGTAAGCAAGGGATTTAATTATGCCAGTGGTTATTCACTCCAGAGCTTTTTTTTTTTTTAATGATGAACATCTCTATATTCATGCACAAAGCTCTAATGGTAAAAATGTCCTGGAAAGCCTCTGTACAGCTGTTAAAGAGCTCTATGCTGTACTGGAGTCTCTGTGTATAGAATGGCTTCAGGAGGATCTGTCTTACCAGTTGAGGTAGAACACACTCCCCAGGGACATTAGTCCTTTACTTAGAAAGATGACATTGGCGACACCACCCACTGTGCATGCTCTTTGAGGTTTTCCAGTGGAAGGGGAGGGGTTATTCTAAACCACATCCTCATGCCCTCATCCATTCTTTCAACCTGCCTATCGAGCACCTACTATGTGTCTAACACTGTTCCAGGCATGGGAAGCAGTCTGAAGAGAGCCAAATGCCCTGTCCTCATGGACCAAATGGGACGTCATCAAGGCAACTGCTCAAACAGGTGGCAGAATATGAAAGAAATTAAGTTCTTCCTTCCTCTTTTGGCAAATTTTTTTCTGTAAGTAGACTGTTGCCTCCAAAAGTAAACGGTATTAGGAAGGTGGCTGATAAGGATAGCGAAGTGGTATTTCACTGTAAGTCTAAATATAGGTCAACATTTCTACAGGCCAAAAGCCTTTTTTAAAACTTCTTGGCAGAACTACAAAAATAAAGATATAAAGCCAGACACTGGGTTGATAAAAAGTTGTTTATTTTTTATAAAATTTAGTACAAATCTTATTGAAATATAAATCCTTCTTGAGCAGTGTTAATAATTATTACACAGTAATCTAAATGCAGATGAGTACATTTGTCTGACCATACCACATAGTATTTAGCCCTTCATTTTCCTGTCATGTAAAAACTCAGCATCTGCACTGCTGAGTCACCTTCATTTCACATTTTTCTCTAGCGAGATTCCTTCAGCGTTATCAGCTACAACATCAAGAAAAGCTGAAATGAGGGATTCTCCTTCCCTTACCATTATTAAGGTTTCTCGAAACTCAAAAAAACCTACGTACCTTCCCCTAAAAGAGCAAAATCTGCAATCCCTTCACTTCTGAGGAATAAGGAGAAACGAACTGGTACCAGATTAAGTCTATTCATTTGTCTGGTATGGGACAGGCTGCACTGTGCCAAAACTCAAGAGCTGGCTTTTTCCTTTTCTTTTCTTTTTTCTTTTTTTTTTTTTTTTGTTCCAAGCCACTCCTTTTTTTTTTTTTAAACTAGGGTTTTGCTAAAATCAGCATTCCCCAGCATCCTACTTTGACCACAGTTTTGTTGGAAAGAAGCTAACCCGCATTTCAGGGATACTGATCATAGGGGAAAAAAGATGAGATGCTACTGTCAGATTATTCTCATGTCCAGCAAGTCTCCTTAACCAAATGACAATCATTTTAAAAGACCTATGGTTAACATGCCTTTAAAGCTGCTTTTCCCAGAGAAATGATGACCTCATGCGGTTCCAACCACTCCATCGTGCCTGGCCAATGACATCTATTTTCAAGACTGCTCATTAGGCCAGGATTACCAATGACAGTCAAATGGGCTGACACTTCCTACTGACCTCCAGCCTTGACTTCAACAGCCCCGTACCTTTGCTCATCAACAGAGCTACTGGGTCACCACTGGTCTCAATAACACAATTGAATGAATAAATACTCAACAAACAAACAAACAAATAAATAAATCTTCCCTTTTTCCCATAAAAGCCCTACATTAAAGACCTGCATTAATAAAATGCCATCTAATGTCTCTATGAAAATGCAATGGGGTATTTCCTTTATTGACAACAGGGTTTGAACTGAACCAAGGAGTAAACAAGTGACCTGTCCAAATGATCTGTCAGGTGAGTAGCCAAATTAGTTCAAAGAACCCTGGAATTCCGTCTCAATTCCTAACCTCTTGTTCTACACTTAGCTTTCTTGCTCTTCCTATTTGAGATGAGAGACTATTGCGCTAATAAGTATTTCTTTCCTTCTAAAATTGGCCTTGTCATACTTTGTCCAGAGAGAGTGGCACCTTTTCCAGATTAAAAAGTAGTAACGGGACGAAGATAGAATGTATCTGAAATGGAAAAAAAAAAATGGCCTCTCACCCTGCGGCCAGGACATTTGGTCTTTGGTTCTAGTTTGCAGTATGTATAGCAGCACTGAAACCTGAACTGGCATCTCAAGTCCAGTGGAATCCACATGGTAAGTCCCTATGGAATTCAGTCCCAGCCTCTCATGCCTTGGAGATTAATGCACAAAAGCCCTGAGAACTGGCATAGTTTTCCTGGTAGGACAGAACCCGTACAACAGGACTCGGTAAATCTACCCACAATTCATTCATCTCTCATCCAAAGCTCTAGCTCTATGGTTTTTGTGCAGGAAGGAGTTAACATAGCAGGCCTGAACTGCTGTCCGTGGAAGGGGCTGTTTGCAAGGTTGGCCCAAGGCCAACATCTGGAGACTTAGATGCCATCGGGAGGGCATTAACTCTAACATTAACTGATAAGACTGGCTCACTGGGCCTAAACTGTTTGTGCAAATGGTATGGTTCATGCTGAACACCTCCTTTCCTTCTTGGAGTCAGGGTAAGGCTGACTTCTCCATACCGGGCAAAGGCTGTCTACATGACCAGCCCCCCAGTTAAAACCTTGGGCACTAAGTGACTAATGAGCTTCCTTGGTAGACATTTCACATATACTGTGAACAAATCATTGCTAGAGGAAATAAGCACATCCTGCGTGATGCCAGTGGAAGAGGGCTCTAGAAGCTTGGGCCTGGTGTCCCCTGTACTCTGCTCCACGTGCCTTTTCTCTTTGCTGATCTTTCGTTATACACTTTTACTATAATAAATCAAAGCTATGAGCACGACCAGGTGCTGAGTCCTGCGAGTCCTCCTCGTGAAGCACCAAGCCTGAGGGTGGTCCTGGGAGTCCTGTATGATATATACAAAGTACATGGTGCAGGGAGGCTCAGTAAGTAACCCCCCAACACTTCCACAGTTTCACCCCCATCCTTGTCTTATCTGTTTATCCCCCCATCCAATTCCCTGAGCCAATGCTCAGAATGCCAAAGGCATGTATCTTCCTGAGAGTTCCTCACTTTAGAGTAAATGGAGTGCATGTCTTTAAGCTGCTACATGAAAGCAGGAATAAGCGTTTGTTGAAGGAGCCCCTTCTCAAAGGAATGAGGAAGAAACAGCACTAATCTTTTCTGAGTTCCTGTCTAAGCTGTCTGATTGTCAAGCCTCCCGGGGACCAGAGGAGCCAGGATCACCACAAACTAAAAGGAATGCAGCGTGCTCACCTCACAGTTCTGACTTATTCACAACTACTGCTGGGTAGCCTCACTTTCTACAACTGCACCACTGTAGAAATTCGTGTCTTAACACTGGAATGTGCTCTGCTCGAAGACCGACCAAACTCATCGATAAATGTAGCCCTTTTCTGAAACCTAAGTTTGTTATAAGCATGATTCCATAACAGCCATATGTCCAACCTGGTTCCCAAGGCTGACTTCACCCAGTCACTGGTCTGGAGTAAGCCTTGGCTAGTGCGTCTTGAGATGTCCATTATGTTTCAGCTGCCACTCCTCATTCCTCCTGCTTCTCCAGGCATGGTACTTCTTGATGCTTTTCCTCCACGCAAAGCGCCAGATGCTAAACATGAAACACCAAGACACACCATACATCGCCACTCCCCCAACCTTCACAAACCACTTGGGCTTGGGTGAGACCATTTCACAGAAAAGGAGGCGAGCCCCTACACCAATCCTCACTCCAGTGAACAGAGCCACAAAGAGGAAGTCCACCACGTCTCCAGTGAAACTGTGGTAACGGCCTGTTTCACGGAGAAACCAGCGCATCTGTAGCAAGGGGTTGGTGATCTCACTTCCGAAGAGGACTGCATTGACCTCTGTGCCTGACTCTCCGAGCACCAGGGCCAGGATGATGCCCAGGATACTCAGTGTGTGGTGAGCCAGCATCAGGGCACCCTCAGACTGGAAGTAGATGCACCAGCCCAAGTCGAAGATGAAGTAGCCCAAGGTGAGACACAGAACGTGCACTTGGAGAGGTGTGTTGGGCGAGCCTGAAATAAACCAAGACAGAAGCAAATTGAGTGGCTGGGAATTATGCCACCTTACACAGGGATCCTATGTTGCTGTTTCTCAAACCTTTCTTGAATCACTGAAAACAAACACAATGGCAGACACATACTTTTTAAAGATAACTTAAAAAAAAAGACTTAAATCTAAACCTTTGGTCTATCAACCCCCAACAATGTTACAGGCCCCAGGAAATGCTGTTCTGATGAATCAGATCTTAATGAATGATTCGAGCATCCACAATTATCTCAAGTGTCCTCTCTGTGTGGCAACATAAAATCAAATTATTTTGTTCTTTCAATTAAAATCTTACACAATCTCTGTCTTTTCTTTTCTTTTTTTTTTTTTTACCAGCTAAAGATCTATTTCTAGACTCCTTTAGTTATTCTGTCCCAAATGTCAGATTAATTTCTTAGCTTAATGGGTGAGGTTATTGGACACTGGTGGCCCTAGCCTGTCTTGAAAGTGGACTCTGGAAAGAACCCCAGAAGTTAGTATGTTCCCAAGTCCAAAAATATAGGGTGCAAGGACCCGACAGGTTAAGAATCTTCATATGAATCATAAGGCTTAAGAGTTGCTTCCTATCAGTTTGACAGTTTGAGGGAAAATTCAGAAGCTCAATATGGGAATTTAAGGAAACAAACAAAAAAAGGATCTAAGGGATTTTTAAAAACATCACAGTCTAATAGAAGGGACTTATGGACTGAATCATGTCCCCCCTCAAATTCATATGTTGAACCCTTAAACCCCAGTACCTCAAAATGTGACTGGGTTTGGAGACAGGGCCTTTGAAGAGGAAATTAAGTCAAAATAGGTTGTTAAGGTAGTGTCCTTATAAAAGAAGATTAGGACACATGCACAAAGGAAAGGCCATGTGAAGACACAGCAAGAAGGTAGCTAGCTGCAAGCAAAGGAGCAAAGCCTCAGAAGAAATCAAAGCCAACATCACCTTGATCTTGGACTTCCAACCTCTAGAACTGTGAGCAAATCAATCTCTGTTTTTTAAGCTACCCAGTCTGTAATATTTTGTTATTATTATAGCTCAAGCAAACTAATTCAAGGGGATACAGCTTTTGTATTGTAAAGAAGTTAACACTTGTACATCTAGCAGCTTAAACAAAGAAAACCAACTTATTTTTTTAAACATTTTTTATTGATTTATAATCATTTTACAATGTTGTGTCAAATTCCAGTGTTCAAAAAAATATGGAACGCTTCATGAATTTGCGTGTCATCCTTGCGCAGGGGCCATGCTAATCTTCTCTGTATCGTTCCAATTTTAATATGTGTGCTGCTGAAGCGAGCACTAAAAAAACAACTTACGCTTACCAAGGGGGAGGGCGGTGGGAAGGGATACAGTGGGAGACTGAGATTTGCAGATACTAACTAATATATATAAAATAGATAAACAGCAAGTTCATACTGTATAGCACAGGGAACTATATTCAATATCTTACAGTAACTTCCTGTGAAAAAGAATATGAAAATGAATATATATGTATGTTCATGTATGAATGAAGCATTATGCTGTATACTAGAAATGGACACAACGTTGTAAACTGATTATACTTCAATAAAAAATATATATATAAATTTTTAAAAGTTAATATAGCTGCCCCAAATAATGAAGCATCAGGTAAATAAAGGATGGTAAATACATACAACACAGTATTATATAACAATTGAAAAGAATAAGGAAGATCTACATGGACATGGAAAGATGATGTCCTTTGAATATATAATCAAGTAAAAATTGCAGGTTACCAAAAATATGCATAATACAGTCCACTTGTGTCTGTTGCAGGGGTAGGGGTGGAAGATGGTAATATTGGCTTTATATTTTATACATTTCAATCAACTGAACTGTAAGAAGCAATTAAAATTTGTTTTAAAAATAGAGAGTTATGAAAAGCAGAAACAATAAGTGACACATACAGTATCAGAGTTAACAATGAAAATGAATAAAGACTCCCAATATACATTATAATAGTAATTACGGTTAAATATTCTTCAGTATTGTCCAAATTCTGTGGAAGAGTCCCATCCTTCTAAGGCTGCCCCCAAACCATAAATCCCTAAGGGAAAATCCTCTAAGGTCTCCCACCTACCTGGGTGGGTAAAAGGCCAAGGGCCATCAATGAAGCCAATATAAGCTGAGAAACCGATCGAGAGGACTCCATGGGTGAACGTAACCAGTCGGCAGCTCCACTCATAGCTTCGGTGCTTATTCAGGTGGCAGAAAGAAACGTAGAGTGAGAGCCAGCCCCCCAGGCTGCACAGCACCTGCAGACACAGAGCTAAGGCCATCCTACGATGAAAAGACCAAAACCAGAAAAACACAAAGGATGCACCCCAAGAAAATAGCATTGGGTCATTTTATGTATATGTCTTCATTTCTACGATTAAAACAGTACAAAAATATTGCCTTCACAGAAACACTTCTTTCTTATCTACATAACCAAGACTCTTCTACTCAAGTATGGCAGTATTTCTGATGCCGTGTTCCTTTGAGATAACTGGTAAAAGCTGTAAATTGAAAAGCAGAAACTGCATTCTGAGTTAGTAGACAGTCTATATAACATGTTGTTATGATGAGTGAGTGTCAATAACCTCCCAGTGATGCCTGACCTTGGACTTCAATACACAAATAATATATGTATTAGATAATGTGTAAGTATTTCAAAAATCCCAATAAGAAGCTCTCACAGAAAAACATCTCCACCACTTGTGGTTTCTGCTCAAAGTCATATGACACATAGAAGTTTCATGTGGTTTTAAGCTGATACTAAACTCAACTGAAGTTTGGGTTTGGATCACGGGTTTATCAGTCAAACTCAAAACTTGAGGTAAACCTAAAGAGAACTAAACAAAGAGCTCAGATATTTTGGAAGGGAAAAAAAGAAAAAACAAACAAACAAAAAAAACTCCTAGGTCTACTTAGTTCTGAAATCCAACTCAAAGACTGACCAAGGGGGGAAGCAGAAGGATTTTGAGGTACAAGTGGGGAGTTTTTGTTGAGCTATAAAAATATCTTTAAGGCAGTTATTTAATAAAAAATGAAACAACATCAAAAAGCTACACTTGGGAATTTTTACTGGTGATAAATATAGCAGGATGAGAATGAGTCAATATAATCAGACAGGACTAAAATCTGAAAATAACAAAGAAATCCTTATTAATATTCATTAGCTCCTCTACTGAAAGTACAAATAAAAAAAGTAAAAAACATTTCAGATATCTGCCTCATCTCAGCAGGAATTTTCTGCATGGCTACACTTACCACTTAACCCTATTCTGACAAGTGAAATAGTATCTGTGGACTAACACACTTCAATACACAAGCCACTCCCAAGAATGCTATCCAGAGAGGGCCTTAGGAAGGTCAAGTGCTGTGCAACTTTCATCTGAAATCAGATTTCTATTTGAGAAAACAGTAGATGTCAAAAAAAAAAAAAGAAAAGAAAAGAAAGGAAAAAGAAAACAGTAGGTGTCAATCACTGACCTGAGTTCCAATTCTGTCTCTGCCCCCAGCTAGCTATGAGTGTGGGCAAATAACTTTCACCTCTTGAGCCTCAGTTTAAAAAAAGAAAGAAAGAAAGAGAAAAAGGACAGGGGAAAAAGAAAAGAAAAAAGGATTGAAAAAACTCTATAATCCGGCCTAGTTCTGACAAGGAGTTCTGAGATAATTTTGTAAACCATCTAGGCCAATTTTCAGAGCAAGGGCCAGAAATACAAAGTAGCCAGAGTGAAAAGAACTGTCCTCTCATTTCCTTTTAAAGGCCAGGGTCACCGGCCAGTAATGCGGATCAGCTCATTTGGATATGCCGATTAGTATTTTTAGAGTCCTGTCCCCTGAATCCTAATTCCCTAGCAGAACAGAGGAAACAGTAGCCCATTTACAAACACTTAAATAAAAGAAGTGACATTTGTAAAGGGCAGATACAACTCTGTGACCTTGGGAAAGTCACTCCATCTCTGCGTTTAGGCTTTTTACTCTTGGGTGAAAAAATGGAAGGGTACTTAGATGGCCAATGGCCGTTCCAGCTCAGAATTTCAAGGCTCCGGTCCTCGCTCCTCCCGTTCCAGGACCAGTTTCGGGAGGAGGAGCGCTGGGCGGGCCCACCTGGCTCTGGGCCTCTGAGCAGGCGTGGCTGGAGCGAGCAGCAACCTCGGAGCCTGGCAGGCACCGCGAGCGCATCTTCCCGGGACTTGCCTACCCACTGCGGCCACGCCTGGTCGGGCATACCTGAGCAGGACCGTTACACTAGCATCCCTCCCAGCGCCCGAGCCGGCGCTCAAAGGCCTCCAGCGCCCAAAGGCAGAAAGAGGCTCCCCTCCCCCAGAGGCCAGGCCAGGCCTTCTGTCCGCTTCCTTCCCCTGCAGCTGGCCGGGCCATCCATGTCCAGAGCCCAGCCCGGCCGCGGGAGCTGGGCAGTTCGCGCCGCGCAGTTACCTGGCCGAGCGCCCCGGGAAGCCTCGGGCGCCTTGGCCCCAGAGCTCGGGGCCCGGATCCCGGGAGCAGGAAGCAGCGGAAAGAGGGAGAGAGGGCGAGGCTCTGACGGCTGCAGAGGAGGAGCTGGGGGTCTGGGGGCACCTGCTGGCTGGGAGGACGGAGCGCAGAGCCAGAGCTGGACCGGGGACGTTCTGAAAGCTGGCGGGAGGGTCCTTCTTCTTCCGCGCAGGCTTAGGGGGAAGGGAGGAGGAGTAGGGAGGGTGAGAGGGTGATAATGACCTAGCGGTGACGTGAGACCTGCAGGCTGTTGCCTTAGCTTATTTGTTTGTTTGTTGTCCGTTTGTTTGAACAATTATCCACCCCCACCCACCCAGGATGGGACTGCCCATCCAATAACCAGTTGCAGAACACCAAGTGCTTGCACCCCTACTAGGCACTGTGGGAGACATAAGACCAAGTCCCTGCCCTTATGCATGAGTCTAAGTTGTGAAACAAGCACACAAATAACTAATTTCCAGAAAAGTGCTCAGGCCTGAAAAGTAGAAGCTATGTATTCCTTCTCATGTCAGCCTGGTCACCAACTTGGCAGGAGAGTACAAGGCTTAAGAGTACACCTAGCTTGGTTATTGAGTGTGTATCTTTGGGTAAGTTAGTTAACTTTTCTGTGCCTCTGTTTTCTCATCCATAAAATGGGGATAGAAATAATAGCTGTCTCATAAAGTTATTGAAAGAATTTTACACACTCTACATGTGTAAAGTGCCTACAACAATGGCTGGCACATGGAAGTCATTATATAAATGTTAATTGTCATTGCTGTTACCTCACTTTGGGTAAATCTTTTCTCCTCTCTGGATCTGTTTTAATACCAAGGGAAGTAAGTTCAAAGAGATGACCAAACATAAATGTGGAGGTGGAAATGGGGTGAAGTGGGCATCTAGCTTGATTGATCTGGACAAGCAGTGATGGGGTGCTGAGAGACCCAGACATTCTTAAAAAGAGAAGACCTTGAGCAGCGGTGTGAGCTTTTAGGCCACATCTGGGGAATAATAAATAGTCTAGTTTCTTGCCAACCTCTTAAGAGTAAAGATCACACTATTTTCATCTTTGTTTCCCCAGTAACTCTTTCAGAGGCAGGGGCAATAAATGTTCTCTGGTTGAATGAATGAGAAATCAGCCTGGAAATGTTTATTGGAAGCATATTGGGGTTCCTAAACCTTAATGATCTTCTAGACCATTTGGGGAATGTTTTCAAAATACCCTTTGTACAGGCTGCCGTTTGAAGATTGGACTTTAGTAGGCTTAGTGTGAGGCCCGGGAATCTGGATCTTCTAAAAATCTGCCCATGTATCATTCAAATGATTAGTCACATTTGGAAATCAGGAGGAGGCATCTTATTATATGGATAACAGAAAAGCTGTGATGATATCGGGCAAGGGAATAATTTTATCATGGTCTCCAAGTCCTTGCTACTCAAAGTCTGGTCCAGGGACCAGCAAAATCTGCATCACCTGAGCGTTTGTTAGAACTACATAAAATCTCAGATCCTAACCCCAGATCTACTGAATCAGAATCTGCATTTTAACAAAGTCCCCAGTGATTCTTGTGCACATTTGGGCAGCGGTTCTCAGCCTTGACAGCACAATAAAATCACTTGAGGAACATTGAAAAATCCCGATGCCTGGGCCACATGCCCAGACAAAAGTTATCTGTGTGGGTGTCATTTTAAAAAAATTCCCCAGGTAATTCCACTGTGCAGCCAAAGTTGAGAATCACTGCTATACAGATACTCAGTGAAAATCAGTATAAGATGAATTGGAGAAGACAACCTGTTACAAGTGGGTTGGAATAGACCAGATAAGAGGTAATAATAGCATGAAGGAGGAAGACAAGGAAAGGTTCATTTCACTAAATGAACAGATAGTATGCATATCTCAAACTTTTCCCCATTTGTTTTTGTTGCAGTATATATATTTTTAATCTAGTATCCAAATCTGAAAGTATCTTCTTGCAGCTACGATTTCCCAGGAAAGGACAGAGTATGTATTAAAGACTTCAGGAGTCTTAAGGCTGAGGGGGTAAGGGAAGGTGCTAGTTTTTCTAGTGGAACTTTTATTGGGCCTTTATCCTAGGGTAACAATGATTCCAGTTCAAGTTCCATTACCTAAACTAAATTTTATTCATTTACATCTCTTTGGCCACAAACCTTGTTCTGCCAAATTATATGCTTGTCAACAGTGGCACCCCACCCCATGAAAATTCTGGGCTGTTAGAGAGAGTAGGGGATAAGAAGCTCTCCACCAACTTATTTGAATAACAATGATAATAATAGTCATCATCATCATCATCATCATAACAGATAACACTTATTAATGTGTTAGGCATTGTTCCAAGCACTTTACGTGTATTGAGTCATACAATTGTTATTCCCATTTTATAGGTGAGAAACCGAGGCACAGAGCTGTCAGGGAACTTGCCCAAGATGATGTGATTAGTAGGGGACAGATTTGGGTATGAACCCAGGTAATATGACACTGGAGGTCATGCTCTTAACCACCAAGATAGGCTGCCTCCACTCACCTAGATTCTCCTACAGATGGTACTAAATTTTTCTATATTCACAGCTCCTAAATTCAGTGAAGGGCATTAAAATTGTTGAGAAGTTAAAAGAAAGGATTCAACTTAAAAAAAAATGCATTGCCTGTTATGTACCAGTCATAATGCTAGTCATGGAGATACAGAGAAGAAGAGACAGACCCAGCTACAAGGAGCTCCCCACAGTCTAGCAGGAGAGGCAGAAGAGTCAGCAAATGTAGTGCATGAATACAGCAGGGGATGCAGGGCACACAGCGAGGAGATGCTCTGAGCCTAGGGGCTCAGGACAGGATTCCAAATTTGAGCCTGCAGCTCAACTCATTCTCAGAGTTGGACCAAAAGTCCTTAGTTTTAGGAGCTCACAGCTGGGCCCATCAGTCTTGAGTCAACTAAAGATTGAAGTTTGAAAATACAAAAAGCGAAACAGAAACAGACTGTCAGATTTAGTAAACAATCTAACGCTTAATGGTTAAAGGGGGTGGGAGGGGATAAACTTGGGAGTTTGTGACAAAGCAGCTAAGGCAAATACAATGAAACAAAGAAAGTGTCTTCAACAAATGGAGCTGGAATCACTGGATATCCATGAACCTAGACAGGGACCTTACACATCACAAAAACTAACTCAGAATAGATCACAGACCTAAATGTAAGATGCAAAACTATAAAACTCCTAGAAGATAACATAGGAGAACCCCTAGATGACACTGGGTATGATAATGCCTTTTTAGATACAACACCAAAGACAGCCCATGAAAGTACTAATTAATAAGGTGGACTTCATTAGAATTAAAAATGTCTGCGAAAGACAATATCAAGAGAATGGGAAGAGAAGTCACAGACTGGGAGCAAATATTTGCAACAGACACATCTGATAAAGGGCTGTTATCCAGAATATACAAAGAAGACTTAAAACTCAACAATTAAAGAAAAAAACAGAAAACAACAACAAAAAACTTGATTAAAAAGTGAGCCAAAGACCTTAATAGACATCTCGGCAAAGAAGATACACAGATGGTAAATAAGTGTGTAAACAGCTACTCCACATCATGTCACCAGGGAAATGCAAATTAAAACAACAACGAGCTACCACTACACACCTCTTAGGATGGTCAAAATTCTGAACTCTGACAACAAAGGCTGACAAGGATGTGGAGCAACAGGGACTCTCAGAACATTGTTAGTGGAAATGCAAAGTGGTACAGCCACTTTGGAAGACAGTTTGGCTGTTTCTCACAAAAACTAAATATACTTTTACCATACAATCCAGCAATCACACTCCTTGGTATTTACCCAAAGGAACTGAAAACTTATGTTCACACAAAAACCTGCATGCAGATGTTTATAGCAGCTTTATTCATAATTGCCAAAATTTGGAAGTAACCAAGATGTCCTTCAGTAGGTAAATGAATAAATAAACTGTGGTACATCCAGACAATAGAATATTATTCAGCATTAAAAAGAAATGAGCTATCAAGTCATGAAAAGATATGAAGTGCTTATTACTGAGTGAATTAAGTCAACCTGGAAAGGTTATATACTATATGATTCCAGCATGTGACATTCTGGAAAATGCAACACTATGGAGACAGTAAAACAAGAATAATATCAGTCGTTGTAAAGGTGTAGCAGGGATAGAGATGAATAGGTAGAGATTATTGTCAGGGCAGTGAAAATATTCTGTATGATACTATAATGATGAATAGACATCATTATAATTTGTCTAAACCTGTAGAATGTACAACACCAAGAGTGAACTGTAAGGTAAACTATGGACTTGAGGGGACTGTGATGTGTCAGTGTAGGTTCATTCTTGGTAAAAAAAAAAAATTACTTTCTGGTGGGTGATATTGGTAATGGGGAAGGCAAGGAATGTATAGGGGCAGGAGGTATCTGGGAAATCTCTGTAGCTTCCTCTTAATTTTGTTGTAAACCCAAAACTGCTCTTAAAAAATAAAATATTTTTAAAGGGTCAAATGGATGAAAAACAGCATCACAGACAACGCAGGACATCAGCTTTTAGCACTCACCTGAACAAGATGTCAAGGTCGCCAGGACTGCTGCAGGAATGCGTCAGCTCTGATGCCCATTAGCATACAAGGAATGGTGCACAGAAGGCCTCATGGGTGGCAGAATAGTTTCTTTATACGTTAAATTATTGCTGAAGGCTCCTCTTGTTGTCTCTGCCACATACACTTTTCAACTAGATCTTTTCTTGAGAAAGTAACCACTACCAATAGGCTTCCTTCCACTTCATGACATGAAATATTATTCTTAATGTGAGCCCCATCCAAGCATCAGAAACAGTTAACTCTTGGTTCTTTAGGCATAGATTTACCCCTTGGATATTATTATTTGCAACAAATATTTAATGCCAAATTTAGAGGGTTCCCTCCCTCCCACTTCAGTCACTACATTTTTATCCCCCACAGGTCAATGTTTGCCTCAAGAATGGTAACTAGTTAAATTTTTATTAGCCCAAGAGAAACCACAAGGATAGCTTCCTTGCTCCTCAATCCCCTCATCAAAAGTCACAGAGCAATCTGAAGCCAAATATGTTTGATTTTTGAATTACCCCTTTTCTTAAATATGTATCGCTTTCCATTGTGAGTAATGAACAATTGACCTTCAGGATGTCTGAGATAGGTATTAGCCTCAGCCTCCATCTCTTAAGTCTCTGAATGACTTGACCTTAAACATTTACCATTCTCCCACTTACAAAATGAGGAAACCCACCTCTTGCTTACTCTGTCCTCCAAGTTGTCCTGTCAAAAAGAGTAGAAACCCTGAACTCTTAAGAGCCCTGCATTAATCTATGTCATCTTTAGCATTGATTTGGGGAGTAATAGACTTAATCCATCAATGAAACATTTTCTCCACCCCGTTTCATCATATACACTCACATCCCCCCTCCCCACGACAACAAAAGACACAGAATAATCTAAACCTCTTCTTATCAATAGTGAAATACTTTATATAATCACTATACAAATTTATTTAGGAACAGAGAGATTCCTTTGAATCTCAACATTTTCTTGGATATGCAGTCTTAAAAAAAAGTTACCATTTCTGGAATGGCTTCATGTTACATGTCTACACACTGGCCCACAAAGAAGGAGACTCAAGAGAAACTGTTCCCGCAGAAGTCAACAAGGATTCCCAGCCCGTGTGGGAACTCCCGTGGAAGCTAGCACAGTATTTCACACTTTGGTATTTTTTCCTTTCTTTTTTGTTAAAGAAGATAAAATATTACAGAGACGTTTTCAAAATTCACACCTGAGTTGAACATTTTGCTGGAAAATTCCACATTAAAGAGAGAAGAACATAATACAAAAACAGGAAAGGGCTATCCATAGGAATTTTGCCAGCATAATCATTGTCTGTTTGCTTTTGTGTTCTTCCTTCTGCACCAGGAGAAGGGAGAGAGGACAAGAGAAGGAGAAAAACACAAGGAAGGAGAGAAGGGACAAGTGTTGTTCCTAAACTCTGGGGCAGATGGAGCAGAGGAATGTGCCCAGGGGACTGAGGATGGCTCAGTCTTCTGCAAAGAGGCGGGAACTTGGAGAACGCAATCACCAATAGAGTTGGTTCTAGGAAAGGGGGCGGGGCTAAAGAGAAAATGGAGTGAAATGAAGATTCAGTCAGAAAACCACTGAACAGAGAAAAACACCAAGGCTTTGGTGGAGACATCAGATTTAAATCTTTTCACAGAGTCCAGAATCAGTTCAAAGATCGTGACTAAGTTCAGAGTCCAAACCATTATCTCCCCTCTGGTAGTTTGGCACCAGGCAAATGGCTGTGCCCAGAATGAGCTGGAGATGCGCTGGCGAACAACGGCGAGAGGTCCTTTCTCTGAAGGACCACTGCCGCACTGAAGCCGTCTGAAATAGTAAGGATTAGACGATAAGGGCACAGGCAAGGAAGGTAAAAATGGTAAACTCCTTGGAGGGGTGTGCATTTCAAGAAAGAGCACAGGATCCTCAAAGGATTCAATCACAGTTTGGATCCCCAAAGGCTCTTGTTCCTGAAGAAGGCGAGAGTTTGGGCTCATTGATAGTGGGGATTCTCTTCCATCTCCTGAAAGCAGTCTGTCCGTACAGAGAAGTCATGACTCCCTTCCTTCCAGTGGGGAATACAGGGCCAGGCGGAGTAGGAGAAACTTTTTGGTCTCAGTGGAGGTAGGTGGGATGATTCCATCGGTACCAAGATCTAGACGGGAGAAAGAAACAAGTCAGTCGGACGGCTTCTAAAGATGAGGGAGGATGGGAAAGGGCAGTGAGTGTTAGCAGGTATGTCTAGGGTTTCTTTCTGGGGTGATGAAAATGTTCCGGAATGAGATGATGGTGACAGTTGCACAACCTTGTGAAATACCAAAATGCACTGACTTGTACACTTTAAAATGGTCAATTTTGTGGAATGTGAATTATATCTCAAAACAATTATTAAAAATGTACGTTATATGGCTTTCTCTCTTTTTCTGATGAGGAGGTTGAGAAGCTGTACAGTAACTGGCCCAGAAGAGCAGACTGCCTTGCTGAATGGTCTGGGTTTGAGCAAGTGGATTCATTTCTAACAAGTTCAGGTCTTTAACCAATCGCCTAACTTTCAAATCTCTGTTTTGTTCTGAATGGGGGAAGACTCTCTCAAGGCATCCGCATTGCAAACACTTTTTAGAGTAGATTCTTTGGTTTGTAAATCAAGGCTCCAGAGGCTACTTTTCCCATTGGACCCCTGGTGGGAGCACCCCTTCCCTCTCTCAGGGTTTCAGTCATGCTGGAAGCTCGGGCTGGGTGGAACACCCTGAGAAAAGGAGAACCGGCATGGAGGGGAGATCTCCTAAACCCAGTGAAGGACCTGGCTCTTTCTAACAGGAGTGTTTGGAAATTTCCACCCTCCCAGTGAGGATGGAAATTTTGGCTTTGTTGACATCAGTTCCTTGCCAGAACTGCTCACTGGCTGCAGCTTCTCTTTTAAATCCCACTCCCTAGGGATAGAGTCCAGTCTGGCTCTGCACCCTGTCCCTTCCCTGCCACCCCAGTCCCCTTTTCCAACCCCGGGACAAGCTTTCTTTCCCAAGATACTGACGCAGACGCAGCTTCTCAGTGCCCCTCGGGCCTGCTGGGGTGTCATTGTGTTCTCCCCTCCACCTTACCCTGAAGAGTTAAAACTGGAGGAGGAGTTCACGGCTGCTTTGGAGTTATTTTGAGATGCAGTGGGGCTGCTGGCGTGGAGTCCTGCGCCAGGAGACGAAGGCCTGCTGTTGTTCCCAGGGGAACAGGATGACGTTACTGAGAACCAGGAGCGGCAAAAACAAGGGGGAAACAATGAGGCTGGGTCCTGGGACCTCGTGACATTCGGGCATGTCTCCCCCAAGGGGTCTCACCCTCTCCCCATCCCCCACCCATCTGCCCACCTCCTACCATGTTAGCATCAGCACCCAGCCCCAGAGAGGGGCCCTCCTCATAAATGTTCTCCTCAGCCCAGGCCCTGGAGAGTGGCATGGCTGGTTCTGCAAGTCCAAGACTTGCCAAATGCAGGAAGGACAGATGCCAAAATCATCCTACTCCGGGACACACCCTGGGCTGGGCATATGCAACCCCAGACCAAGAGGCAGGGTGAGAAAAAGAACAAGAAGCCTCAGAACGGAAAAGAGGAGGAAAGAAAGAAAAGTGCACAGGGAGAAAAAGAGAAGCTGAGAGCACAGTTAGGTTTTGCCAGCCTCTCTGGTGTTCCCATCTCCAAGTACGTGGTCTTCCAGAAAGAGCACAACCAGGAGTGGGGAGTCCCAGGCCGTTCACTCAAAGCTCTGTGGCCTGTGGCAACTTGCTTCACTTCTCTGAAACTCCTTTTTGACCTCTGTAATATGGCAGCTTTGGATTAAACTGAACGCCTGTATTTGGGTTTCCCAAACAGCGTTCCGTGGGTAAGGTGACATACATTTCACCATCCAAGCTAGGGTACTTTGAAAGGTGGAAGGCAGTGGTATTGACAATTATGTCAGGACAAGAGGCAGACACTGGGACCGTCCTGGGCCAATCCAGACATACAGTCACCCTATCCAGTCCTTTGAAATGCTGTAGGTACTTTTTGGAAAAATAGAGTGCTGTAAAAACTTAGTTTGGAAGACCTTTCCTTCCACACAGCTCATTTGTATGTATAATGCATTTGAGGGCTGAGAAGTGTGGCAATTAAAACAAAACAAAAACAAACACTTGTTCAGACTTTGCTTACTTGGCATTTCCCAAACTGAGTTGATCATGGAAGTCTTTTTCTCTTAGCACAGATTTTAATATCCTTTGAAATCCATTTTGGGAATGCTAACTTAGGTAGGTACCCTTCAGTTCTCATATTCCATTATTTAAAAGAATTCTGATATTATTCAGAAACCTCCTTTTTAGAGCTTACCTGTTCCAGGCATGGTGCTGTGGATGGGAGGGACAGAGAGGGGGCCCAGAGACCCAGAGGGAGACACCTGAAAGGCAACAGAAGCTTGTAAATATCTGCTTCCGCCTTCTTCTCCAATCTCTGGTGCTTCTCCCAGGATGCTGGGCCCCAGACTCTGCAGAGACCAGGGCTCAGCTTCCTGGATGACTTCCAAACCCCAAACCTACACTCTGTGCCCTGTTTCATAGGTAGGCCTCTGGACCACATACAGCATCCAGCTCCAGCCTTGCCCTGCTCCCACAGCTCCCTGCTGCTGACACCAGGCCCTGCCCTCCTCACTGTGTGTCCCCTGGCAAGGTCTCTCGGGCACGGTCAGGTGGAAGCTGCCTTGCTCGAGTGCCCTGGCGATGAGAGGAGCGTGCCTCCAGGGCTCTGCTGTGGCTGACACTGCTGGTTGCTTGCCTATTTTCCAATCCCCCCTTTTTCCTTCTTAAAAGACTCCTGCTCTTGCTCAGGGCAGCAGGGAGCCAACCCTCATCACCCTGGTTCAGGATTCCGATCCCAATGCATGAGTGGACCCTCCCCTCCCCGGAGGTAACTGGAGGAGATGAACTTCGGTCTCTGAAGCTTTTCTTCTTGCCCTGGAAACCTCACAGCATCATCGACCCTGAGTTTGGAAGGGGCCTGAGATAATTTAGTTTAGCCTCCCACACGGTTCAGGAATCTGTCCCTCAGTATTACTATCCTAGCACAACCAGGAACAAGATGTAATGGGAAGAATGGACACTGGGGCCCAGCAGATGCGGGGGTGAGGCCTGACTCCGCCACTATCTGTGTGACTGGGACAAGTGACCTAGCCCTGCTGCGACTGGGTTTTCTCATCCGTAAAATAGCAGTAATACCTCCTTCATATTTTCTTTTAATTAAGATTTAATGAGATAACGTCCACAAAGCTTCCAACTCAGTGCCTGGCAAAGAGCGCCAGGCTTGTTAAATACCAGTTCCCTTCCTTCCTGCAGGAAGCTGTCAACTCCTGCGTGGCTCTAGAAGCTGTTTACTTCTTCATTTGAGCTGAACTCTGCATATTTCCCACACCCACCCACCTCCCCATTCTCCTCATCCTGACCTGGGACACTCAGATCCACTTTTTCAAAGGACATTGAAAGGAAGTCCTGCTCAGGGAGCTGTGATCGGCTACACCTCCCCTCCCCAGCCTGGAACATCCCATCCCGACAGGACGCAGCATGTACTCATTTCCTAATTCATCAGCAATGGTTCTTCTGCTTTTATTACCTGCCCATTTACAAGGAGCTTCCTCAGTAGGCTGGGGGCCCACGAAGGGTGGAGACAGGTGTGGGGCAGCGTGGTAGGAGATGTTATCAATAATCTCCCTCCCTCTTCTCCTCCACCCCTCCCAGCTGACACACCCCAAGAAATTTGTTGTTGTTTTAAAATAAATATTTAGTCACTGTCACCAGCTTCTTCTGTTTCCTCCTAGAGACAGGCTATCTATACACAAGCAGACGCAGATACGGTTCCCCTCCCTTTAAATGTTTTATATAAATGGTAGCATTCTGTCCACACTGGTCAGAAGAAACTATGTCCTAGTCCCAAAGAGACTGCCCCGGTGAGACGGAGAAGGCAGGATCAGAACATTTTCACTAGCCTTTCCTTCAGGACGTCTCAAGTATTAATGTGATTATTTATTTAGCGTCTTTCTCCCCAAGTAGGCTGTAGATTTCATCGGGACAGAGTGATGCCCGTGTGGTCCACTGTGTTGTCCTCAGTGTCTACTACAGTGTCTGGAACTTCGCAGGTGCTCAGTACACATGTGTTGAATGTATGATGAGAACGAATGACACACTTTCATGGCTCCTCCGTGCCTCCCACCACTTTCCTCCAGGATGTTGGTGTCCTGGGTTGGGACTGAACCAAACTGATAACCTAATTCTCATCTATTCTAAACAAAGCCTCATCTTGAAAAATTCCAGCTCTCTTATGACATGGTTCAGTTTCCTTAATGTGGCCTACAACGCCCTACATGATCCAGCCCCCGCCTACCAATCCCAGTCCAGCCTCTTCATTCACACAGTGTAACTTCCCCGGTCCCATTCCAGCCCTCTGGGCTTCCTCTCCCACCCATCCCAACTGCAGGGCCTTTCTACACTGTTTCCTCTGCATAGAATGTTCTTCACAACTCTCTCGCCCCTACTCTCCAACTCAGACTTTTCCCCCATCCATGTCTACTCTTTCTTCTGCTGTCAGTTACAGCACCCTTCCTCAGAGAAGCCCCTGACACCCTGGACTAGGCTAGGTCCCTCAAGTACCCATACATCTTCTCTGCAGGCTTCATCACAAACTGCATTTGTTTAATGTCTGTTTCCTTCACTGGACTGAAAGCAGGGATCACAAGGATCCTGTGCACCACCGTGTCCCAGTGCCAAACAGTGGATTTTCAATAAATATTTAAGAAAGGAATGACTATCACGTTGCCCCAGCTGCAAATTTTCAATGGTTCCTCATAGCTTTCAGGGTAATTAGCACCCAGGGCCCACCATGAGCTAGCTCTCATCAGCCTCTCTGTCCTAGTCCTAAACCCTTAGCTCCAGCTGGACCAAAATGCTTGTGATTCTCCCAATGCATCATGCTGTTTTGTAATTCCATGCCTCTCACAGACTGTGTCTTCTGCCTGCTATGCTGTTCTTTTTGCTAACTCCTAATCTGTTCCCCACACAAATTAGGGGCTCAACCCTCCCACACCCCATTCTGATTTGGTGCCTTTCATCTGTGTTCCCATAGCACTCTGGCAGGGCTCCTCATATCTGCTTCAACCCTCACACTTACTTCACTGCAATCTCTTGCCATCTCTGGTTCCTCCTTCTCAGTTTCTTCCCTTGCCCATCCCTCAAATGCTGGTGTTCCCAGGGCTGAGATCTAGACTTTCCTCTTTGCTTCCTCTGTACAAACTCCATAGGTGAGCTCCTCCCTATTCAGGATCCTGCATGCATATGACTCCCCAATCTGTCTCTATCCTGGCCTTCCTTCCTGACCTCCAGACCCATTATTCCAAGTGCCTAGGGAAATCCCACAGGCCTCCCTGTATATCATAGTGATGCAAAGAACTGAAGTCATCACTTTTTCCTACTCCTCAGTGAGCCCCTCCCGCTGTTTGACTGATCCATCAATGGTACCATCACCTACTCAATCAGCCCAGCCTGAATGCTGAGTCATCCCAGAGTATTCCCTTTCCTTTATCACTCTCCCTGCCCCAACCCAATTTTCAGTTCACTGAGACCTAAGAATTCTACCGTCTAATTATCTCCTCTCTCTCATCCCCCTCATTCTTACCAAATGGGTTTGCTTCACCCCTCTTCATGTCTCTGCTGGATAAATGCAGTCACATCTCCCTGAAACCAAATTTTGTGCCTCTCAAACCACCCTTTATAACTGCAGTCGGAGTGATCATTCTAAAAAGCAAGTCTGACAGTGCCAATGTCCTGCTTCAAATCCTTCAGCGACTCCCCACGCCTTCACGTTCCTTAGCACTGCACACAATCCCTTCGGTCTGGCCTTCGCTGAACTATCCAGCCTCATCTTTCAACATTCCTCCACATGGAAGCACCTGCAGTTCCATGAATGTGCCCTGTTCTCCCTGCTCCACACCGCTGTTCTCCCTGCTCCACACCACTGTTCTCCTGCTGCCCCTTTGTGGGAACCCCCTCCCCCCTTATTTGCCTCTTCACTCCTTGTCTTTTTAGACTTAGCTCAGGTATTAATTATCTCCTTGGGGAAGCCTTCCATAACCACCGCCTCCCAAGGTGTTGTTAGCTGCTACTCCTAAGTTCTAGAGCAATCATCATGTTGTTTATCATTTGTTTATTTGTCTGTCTCCTCTGCTAGGCAGTAAGATCCTCTGGGACAGGGGACAAATATTACTTCTTCGTGCCTCCCCAGGACTCAGCACAAAGACCAATATGTTATAGATGGCCAACGAATGTTTGGTGAAGGAACAAACAATAGTATAGTTTTATGAAATAGGCATGCCCTACCCAAGACAAGGCTGAATTTTACCCATCCTTAAGTGCTAAAATACGTGAGGACACACCACTATCCCTAACTCCACTGACCTTCAACCATCACCATCCCCAGCAACGGAGAAGAAACTTCTCATGCCCACCTTCCCGGCAGACCTCTCCCCTGGATGGAGAGGACACCTCCTGCACTCCAGACTTCCCAGTCTGCCTGAACTTCAAGTTATTCCCAGCCCTGACTTCTCCCCTGGACGCCAGAATGACAGATGCAACTGTCTACGTGATGCTTCCTCTTGGATGCCTAGGAGGTAAGTCTAACTTAATATGACCAGCTCCAAGTTCTTAGTATATTTTCCCCCCTCAAACCTGTTCCTCCTGCAGATTTCATCATCTCAAAAAATGGCAGCCCCTTCCAACCAGTTGCTGAGGTTAGAACACTTGAAGTCATCTTGGCCTCATTTCTCATACTCCTTATCTGAGCTAACGGCGCATCTTGTTGGCTCCATGGTTGAAATACATTCAGAATCAAACCACTTCTCCTCATCCACCAAGGCTACCACCTTAACCCAAGTGGCTACCACTCTCAGCCTGATTACTGTCATTCTCACAGCTGATAACCTGCCTCTACACTGATTATTCTCCATACAGCAGCCCATGTCAGTCAGCTCAGGTTTCTCTGCCAGAAACCTCCAGAAGTTTCTTATTTCACTCAGACTAAAAGCCAAGGTCCTTTCAATGGCCACCAAGACCTTGGTGAATGGCTCCCTGTTTTCTCTGACTTACTCTCCCACTTCTTGCCTCCTTCCTTGCTCTTCCCTGGCTACACTGGTTTCCTTGCTGTATGTCAAACCTCTTGTTGCCTGGTCCCTCTACCTGGAACACTCCTTCCCCCAGGTATTTCATTCCCTTGAAATATTTAGAACTTTGCTCAAATGTCACCTTATTTGAGAGGTCTTCTCTCACCCCTCTATTAAAAAAGCATCTCCCTGAATCACTTTGCTGTACACCTGAAACTAACACAAAATTGTAAATTAACTATACTTCAATTAAAAAAAAGAAAAAGAAAAAAATGGGCAAAAGGTCTGAACAGACATATCACCAAACCTACACACAGATGGGAAAACTCTTTGCCCTCCAGGCTTTATCTCCCCCGGTGCTTGGCAGGCAGCTTGGCTCCTGGCCACTCACCAGCCGGGAACCGTACATGGGTGATTTGATGGGCGTGGCCACCGGGCAGTTGATTCGCTTCTCCTTTTGGCGTCGGTTGCAGAACCAGACCCTCACCACCTCCTTCTCCATGGACAACTGCTCTGCAATCATGGAGATCTCCTCTGAGCTGGGCTTGGGGTTCTACAGGAAGTGAAGGGGTAGAGTTGTCAGGAGGAGGAGGAAACAGGATCAAGAATTGCTGGTGGGGGACAGATGACCCAAGGAAGCAGGACAGAACGACAGATGGATGGAAAGCTTTAGATGGAGTACTGTCTTTAGCACTTCTGTGGCTTTGGGAGACTTTCTGAACCTCTCTGAGCCTCAGTCTTAACGTCTTTGAAAGGAGAGTAATAATGCCAACCGTATAGGGATTACTGAGAATATTAAATGAGAAAATGTGTGTCAGCTGCCATGCACAGGCCCTGACACAGAGGGGAGGCTTTTCTCCCACTCCTCCAGAAGTTCTGAGAAGAGGAGCCCAGTGCTGAGTGATGTGGGCAGGCAGACTCCCCAGATCCCATGCTCCATCCTGTTCTTTCCTCATCATCTGACGTCCTTCTCTCATGTCATTTCTTCCTGTCTATATCAAAATGGGAAATGATAAAGTTAAAACAAGGGGACTCATCAGGACTACAGAGGGGATATATATATATATATACCTATATATACTTATTCAAATATATATTCATCACTCCTTTGTTCTGACCCTTCCCATCCCCAACCCAGTCTGTGATCTTAGCCCCTTTCTCTCCCTTCTACACCCTCCCTTACTCTTGCTGCTCTAAGAGACTTAATCAGAAGGAAAAGCCAGCTCTTGTCATCCTGCCAGCAGGATGGAGCCATCAAATTCTGAGTCAGAGGCACTGGATGATGTGCTAGAGGGGCAGATTGTCCTGGAGACCTGGGGCCTGCAAGGGGAACTAGGCCACCGGCCCATCCTTTGGGACCTCTGTGGTGCGGATGGAAGCTCTGGAGGCTGGTACCTAAGGGATCCTGATTAGAAGCTGCTCAGACCACACCTGTTTATTTCTGATCTCTCCCTCAGCTCCCAAGGGGCACAAAGCTGGTCTTCTTAGCTTCCGCATCCTGACTCAAGAATATGTTTTTGCTGCAAGTTCAAAAAAATGTACGTATGTAATATGATCACAAGTATTTAGATGTGCGTAGGAGAAGGAAATAGAAGGTACATATTCAGACGGCATTTGACGGTGGACGTTTTTCCTACTTCCCTATATTTTCCAAATTGTTTGCAATGAGCATTTGTTTCATTTACAGTTTGAAAAGCACAAAACAATGCAAAAAAAAGAATTTACATACAGTGTCCTGGGTTTGCTCCCTTTATCTCAGCTGGACACAGAGATACGCTGTCTTCTGAGACTCTATACCCCATTCTTTGAATCTCCCCACGGGAGGGACAATGGGCCCCAAATAGATGTCAGGGCAAGAAGGGTCAGTGGGGGAGGAAATTGCTGGAACCCAGCCTTTCACTCAGACACTGGGCGCCTAGAGAGGGAGTGGGTCTCTGCTTTCTACCCTCTCCCAGGGCAGGTGTATGGTGCCAAGGGGCCTGTGTGCACCTGCTCACCCACCTGTGCAAGTCGGCCTGCCCACTCCGACCCAGAGGAGCCACTCACATCTTGAAATCTCTTCTCCAGAGTCAGGCGGATGTTGGTCTCGATGCTGGTGCGCTTCTTCCTCTTCCTCCCAAACACTTCACTGAGGGTGGGGTAAGAGCTGGGGGCGCTCACCGAGGGGTCTGACGGAGAGGATTCTGTGGGGAGGTGAAAGAGCAGAGGAGGCTCAGAGAAGGGAAGCGAACCAGCTCAGGCTCTGCCTTGTCGGACCTGAGGTCCAACGACCCTTCCCAGTGGGTTCTGCAGTGCCGTTGTCAGGACCAGCCCCCTCCCTGCCGCAGGGGAGCCAGGACAGACCAGGAATCCTGCTTCTCCTCGTTGCTCTGGGCAAAGGTCCTCCATGCCTCCCACAGCAGTGCCTCCAGTGTTTGCGGTCATGGTTCAGGGACACCCAGACATCAGCGGCATGTGTGGGTGTGAGGGGGTGCAGGCAGAGCTCCTACAAGCAACACTCATGAGTCTGTCTTTTACAAGTATGCCTGGACGTGAGTAGCGAGGAAAGGGGGAACTGGTGTTCTGAGCTAAAAGCGATGGCACTTGGGGGCCGAATGTTGGTGTAGAAGCCACTTCCTTTCCCATGTTAGTGTCGGAGCTGACACTGTCAGACGGATAGGCAGGGATGACCCTCAGGAAGGATTGAGGCACAGATAGGGGACCGCACTAGAAATGACCTGAAAGGTCCTTTCCCAAAGATTGGAAGACCCTCTGATCATCCTTTTCACTTCAGAGCTCCAGTAAAAGCTGCCTAGGGGACAGTCGGCTGAGGGGAGCTTCCTCACCCCTCCCCTGTTTCCACGTGGAGGGACTTCCCAGAGAGACACACCCTTGACCAGCTGCCCCCGCTTCCCTCCTTCTCCACAGTAACCACTAACCCACATGTATGTCCTGACTAGAGCCCAGCCCTGGCCCTGGCTCTGCTCCCTCCCTCTCCACCTAGACCAGTGGTTCTCCACCAGGGGCCATTCTGTACTCCCATCACTCCTCCAGGGGACATTTGGCAGTATCTGGAGACATTTTTGCATGTCTCAACAGGGGACAAGCACTACTGGCATTAAGTGGGTAGAGACCGAGGATGCTGCTAAAATCCTGCAAGTCATAGGCCCTCCACCTTCAACAAAGCATCGTCTGGCCCAGGACACTGAGAACACCGTGGTTGAGAAACCCTGTCCCGTGCTATTCCATGACACCAAACTCTTTCACTCATTATTCCAAACGTTTTGCCCTTGGCTTTGCCCCTTGACCTCCTGGCCAGGCCCCCACACCTGACTGAATCCTCCTGCAGACCCCACTCCTGCTGTAAGCCTTTCCAGCCAGCCTAGCTCACAGTAATTCCCTGCCCTCTGAAAACGTCCTCAAGAATTAGCCAGATAAAGATCTTGTGTTGTGCCTGTGACTGCTCCTTCCGGCCATGAGACCCTAGAGAACCCACTTTCCTATCCCCTTTACCTAGATCTAGTCTAGACAGCTACCTGGGTGAGTGGGTTTGCTTTGCAGACCCAACCTTGTCTCTGGCGAGCTGTCCAAAGGTCTGGGCTGGGTGGGTCTGGCGTAAGGTAGGAAAGGGGAAGGTCTTCATGGCCACGGTGTAAAGCCATGTCCTCCATGGTGTTACCAGTAGTGGAGCTGATACTCTCGTCTCCACTTGCTTGTCTCCTGTGTCTTATTCTCAGTGGGTTCCAGACTCAGGAGGAGAAGAAAGGGGGTTATGTGTTGACAGCCTAAAGCCCCAACACAGACAGGTCACCAGGCCCTTCCCTGCAGACCCTCCACCCTTGTGTCGCTGAGGCCCACCTGCATCATTCAGCCACTTCTCCAGTAGTGGCTTCAGCTTGCACATGTTCTTGAAGCTCAGATTGAGGGCCTCAAATCTCGAGATGGTCGTCTGGCTGAAGTCATTGCCATAGAGCTTTCCCATCGCCAGCCCCACGTCCCCCTGCGCGTGGGGGTGGAGAGGGAGGAACTTGAGAGGCAGGCTCCTTCTCTTCTTTGTCCACATCCCCCACCACCCTAGCACCTATCACACACCCAGCGAACCTTTGAGCACCTGACCATCACCCTGGCTCCCGTCCTGGTTTTTTCTCTCTAAGATCAGCATTGGTTTCTTTCTCTCCCTAGACTCTGCATGGGCTCTGAGTGGGCTGTGCCCATGTGCCTAGCACCTCGCCTGGTTCTCATTCCTCTCCTCTCTGCCAGCAGTGTCCCTGGTCTCCCTACCAATGGCAACTGTACCTTATCCTCAGGGACCACAGGAACACGATGAGCTTGCCCCAAACACAGTCAGTCTTACTTGCTCTTGAAACCTACACTCAGGAATCCCAGTCTCTACTCACTCAACCCGATCTCTTCCATCTCCTGGCCCCAAACCAGACCTGTGTGAAGCCCAGCTTAATGCGCCGCTGCTTGAAGGTCTTAGCAAACTTCTCCAGCTCCTCCAGGTCGCTGGGCTCATCCGCCCCTCCAGAGCTGGGGAGGTGCTTGGGCACTGGGAGATGCTGGGACGCTTCCAGATGGGGTTCTAAAGAGGATCCTGGCAGCCCAGGGCGCCCAACTGCCTAAGAAGGGACACACCAGGGAAATCCACAAACAGTCAACAGATCAAATGGCAATTTCTGATATTTTGTACCAATAGGCCCACTTAGAGGATGACAGATTAGATACATTGGGTTCCTATTATTTCAATGGTGTGAAAGTGGAAATTGGATTTTCTATGAAGGGACTAGCCAATAGCTAGAAAAGCTGGGGTAGAAACAGTAGGAGTGTGGGACAGGGAGGTGGTGGCCTCTCTGGGTTTTAGTCTATGACTCACTGTTTGACTCTGAGCAGGTAACTTCCTCCTTTCGTTTTCCACCATAAAAGGAGCTAGCAGGCTTGTTTACAAAGATCCCCAAAACAAATTTCAGAATGGGATGAGGAAAAGGTTGTTTGTCTTGTCTGTTCTTTTCCACAAAGCAAAGTAGCTGAGGTGTTCAACGGGCATTAACTGAAGATAACAGAGGACATCTGAGGCTCACTACATTCGTAGAATTCCATAAAATTCCAGACTCTGTGACTGCCACTTTACTTTCTAAACCATCGTTTTCCTTCATGTGAGCATTTTGTCTTTTTTTTAATAATCAAAGCTATTCCAGTGCTACCTAAGCTCACCTTGATCTCATTTGTGGTAGTCAGGAGATAGTCTTTCTTTAGTTTATTTTCATAGCGAAACAGACCCTTCCACCTGGGATCCCCGTTGTGCCCATTTGGGGTCAGGAGTAACTCCAGCTCATCAACAAAGAAGGAACGGAACCCAGGCATGGGGTCCTAATGGACACTGTGTCCGGTGCAGGGGCCGCTGCTCAGGTGGATAATGTGACCTAAGTCCACCTCCTCTCTCCTTCCCAGTTTACTCTTTTCCTAGCCTGGGATTAACTTTATTCCCCTCTTCCAAGATACTCAGGCTTACCATTCAGACAGGCAGCCTCGTGATGACCAGGGAGGAGTTAGAGAGTCTTTTTCCCCAGTGGAAGGCCTTTTAGAACAGAAGGATTTGAAACCATTAGGATTTGATCCTGTTTGGTGCGGAGTGGGCAGCACAGACCAGGCCCTTAGGACAAAGCCTCCGTCCTCTCTGAGGCTTCCTTTCACGAATCCTTTTGCTCTTGTGTCTGACAAATATTTATTGGATTCTTTGCTAGCCATTCTCCCTCCCCACTACACATTCAATCAGGTGCCACATTGCATTGAGTCAACCTCCCCAAACATCCCTCAGTCACCCCCTCCTCCCTATCCTCATGGCCACAGCCCTAAGCCGGTCCCTTTACTGCTGCCCACGATGATCTCCATACCCTTCTGAACAGTGTCTCTGCTTCTAGCCTCGCCCAGGCTCTCATGTTACAAGACGCGAGAGTTGATCTTCAGCTCTAAGATCTCTTCCAGGTCTAAGTCTATGAGGATGAGACTCTGAGGAGAGCAGTCAGGAGGAAGTCCAGGAGCTCAGGACTCTGGCGTCCCCATTTCTAATAGCCACTAGATGGCACCCTCCCCTCTTCCAGAGGCCTTCAGTGGCCTCTCTAGCCCTGTAAAGCCAGGGTCCTTAGTGGTCCGTGGGGATCTTAGCACAGAGAAGGGACATTTGGATGCCTGTAGTCATTCCCAGCTCTCCTACACATCCGTTTCTGCAGAGCCAGCTCATGCAGCGATGCAGGTTATTAACTGCACGGGGGGCACCGAGATGAGGGGAGGGGCAGCAGCTACAATACAGCTCCTGCTGCTCTGGCCAAGCCACGGTCTCTGGCAAGAGGCCACATCTGGCCAGAAGAAGAGGTGCCTTTTTTTTTCTAATTGGCAAACAGGTGCTGTGTGGCACCCTGGGGTTCTGCAAAACTCTGCTAATGGCCCTCTTGCAGACCTCAGTCCTCCTGACCCACACACGTGTCCCTGCAGGAGGCAGTCTAGAACAGTGGTTCTTGAGAGAGGCCCAGAGAGACCCTGGCTTTGAGTTCTTGGGACAGCAGGCCTACTGGATGGTGGTCTCCCACTTAGGGCTCGAGAGCACCTGGGCAGGGCTGGTGGTCACCATGGCATCCCTGGAAAGCTGGCTGAGCCCTGGTTCTAAGAGGAGTGACGCTAGGGTCTGATCAGGGCTGGAGTACTCGGAGTGCCTGCGTTACAGAGCAGGCTAGCCCGGGAGCTGGTATCTCTGGGTTTTATTCTGGCTCCACCACTGGTACCAGGTCAGTCATTTCCCCTGGCTATGTTTGAATTTCCCCATGTGCCAACAGGGATAATCCTCTGCTATCCCCTCCTCCCAGAGGGGTAGGCACACCACTGAGGAGGTGGGAAGAAACCAAGGAGGTGGAAGAAACCAAGGAGCTTAACTCCATCAAGAGCGGAGACATTCCTAGAGGAGACAGGAAGAACACGGGTGTTTACCTGGGACGTCAGGCCAGGCCCAGTCTGCGGGAGGAGGAGCGAGTTTTGCTGCTGTGGAAAGGGGAGAAGATTTGGCTGCAGACCTGGGTGAAAGGGGAGGAACAAAGGAACAACTAAAATCCAGGCCAGTTGAAAGACATGCTCTAGAGCTTCGGAGCCACAATACCTGTCCCCACCCCCCCACCTAATCAGGTCCCTCCAACCCACCTCGAGCCCTGTAGAGAGGCCCCCACGGGCACTGGCAGGATTGCCACACAGAGGTGGAGGTGAAACAGACACTGAGACAAACAGGTGTAAACACCGGTCCCCAGACCAGTCCTTCCGCCTGCCTGGAGTGGTGCAAAGGCTGAGGAGGGTCAGGGCAGCTTGCTCTGGGATCTGATAACTGGGGCTGAAGAAATCCAAGAGGGAAGGAGATATGGGGTGACTCCTAAGAATTCAAGCTGGAGCTGAGGGTTTCCGTTTTGCCTGCAGAAGTAGCTGGGATGGCTACAAAGGTCTTGCCAAATCTGCAGGGTGATCAGATCAAGGAGATGGTGCCATTCAGCTCCAAAGGGCAGTGGACAGGTGCTGGGGACTCTGGGCAGAACCCAGACATTTTACACTTGGGAGGAAGGGCGGAGAGAGAAGGGAGGAGCGGGGCCAAGTCTCTGGAAACTTGAGCTGGTGGTATGGACTATACTTGCTCGTTGCACTGCCTCAGGACCGCTTTCTCCACCCCTCTCTAGGAAAACTGCCCTTGAAGGGCTCTGCCTGGTTGGTGGTCGTGACAGTGGCTCTGCTCTGGGAAGAGCCACAGCCAGGAATTCTCCCTGTCACTGTGGGAATGGGGCCATCACACTACCAGAGCAGACACGGGGGCAGATCACCCCAACCACGTGGCACAGAGCAGCACCCCGGGGTCTCTGTTGTCCCTAAGCTGTTCTGGGTCACTGATGTGCAGCCCCTACTGATGCAGTCATGCTCCTCAGTCTAAAACAGCCAAGGCTTAATTTTTCCTCATTAAAGTACGTAGGCAAGAAAGCTCTGTAAGGAGCCCTGTACCGGGAGTCGGAGGCTTCAACACTAATAGTAATTGAACGTTCACACTGCATTTTGAAATGGACAAAAGCCCTTTGCACGCATGATTTCCAATAACCCTCAGTAACCTTGTGAGGTAGAATTTCACAATAATTCCATTGTTAGGGAGAAAACAGAACCTCAGAGAGATTAGATAAGTTTCCCAAAGACACACAGCCAGTACATGACTTTTTTTTTCTTAGCCAATGAGTTTTTCTGATTCCAAACATTAAACTGCTTTCTCCCCCGTGTGTCATACACTGATCTCATTGGTTATATGCCTGGGCAATTTTCACATCACCAACTTTTTAAAAAGAAATAGAATGAACTGTTATCTTCCCTTTCTCACCCCAGGAATATGCTATATATTGTGTAGCTAACGTAGATGCTTAAAGGTTCACATATGTTCTCATTCATCACAATCATAACACTCCAGGGTGCCTTGGAAGCTACGGATAACTATAATTTGGGCAGGTGCGAAGGACAGAAGGCAGAGCTGCCTTTTATTTAGATCCTGGATTTCCGAAGTGTCTACTTGGGATGTGTATGATGGAGAGAGGCTTCTATTTCCCGCATCATTTTCAGCCCGAGCTGGTGGAGAGGCAGCGCTTCTAGGTGAACCCAGGCGCTGAGAACGTGGGTTTTTGACAGTCACGGAACTTTCTAGTAGGTCACTGGAGACATAATGTGACCACCTACTACGCAAGGTTATTTTGAAAGATGTCAGAAAACCACTCAGAAGAGCTCCTGGCATATCACGCTCAAGAAATGTTAGCTCTTGTTATGAGTATTGTAATCTGCTCTTGGCTAAGGAGATCTCTGGTAGTAACGTCCCCGCTAAAGAAAACCTGAAAACCCTCTCCACGGCCTGTGGGTGGCACTGCCACTCTACCCAAGTAGAATTCTAGGCAAGCTTCCCCAGGTTAAAAGTCTGAATCCGCATTCTCGTCCTGGGAAGGTTTCCAAGGAACTGGGACTTCTCTGGACTACATTTCCCAAGGAGCCTCTCCTTCCTTGTTCTGCCCCAGGCCCTGCCTCCCTGGCAGCACCTTCTGTCTCAACTGATAATGGCTTTGAGGAAGATGGGAGAGGGAAGCAGAGGAGGCTCAGCCTGGAGGGACAGGACAAGGTCCCGCCCCTGGGCCCTGAGGTGGACAAGCTGCTCATAATACCAGAGGGTGAGCCACTCATCCACGCCCCACACTTGGGTCCCAGCATGCAGAGCAGTACTTTTCTGCACTTGGTCTAGGTGGAAAGCCCCAGGGTTCTTACCTTGCTGCCCAGGTTGGGTCTGAGATAGCAGGAACTGGGAAACAGACTGGAGGTGTCCCGGAACCAGCACGAGCTGCTGGAGTGGATGGAGGGAAGGCACGTCCTGTCCAGAGAGGGGCAGGGAAGGGGGAAATACGCACATCACAGAATTTACAAGCCGGGAGTTGAAGCTCCATCTGCCCGCTGCCCATCTGTCCCATGGGGCTCCGGACTCTGACAGTTTGCTGCAGGGACCTTGCCCTGAGCCTCTGGGTATCCCTGGGTACCCCCTGGCACACAGTAGCTGCCGCATGAATGCTGGTGGTGTTACTGCTCCTGCACTCAGCCAAGCGTGCCTTGCAACCTGTTGTCACTTAAACCTTGCCTTGCTGTTTAGCATTCGTGTGTGTCAGTCCTGTCTCCCAACTAGTCTGTAAATGCCCCGAGGGCACAGACTATGGATATTACCCTTCTCTTAGAGGTTTACCCTAGAAATGACATGCAATCTTAATTGTCCGATAAAAAAAAAAAAAACTCATGTCACTTGATTATGCTAAAAGCCATGTCCTAGCCATTTCCTGGGCCTGAACCTTTCCTGGAAGAAGGGGCAAGTTACTGGTTTTTAATAAAACCAATCTGGTTAAACAGAAAGTCCATTTCCCCTGGGTTCCTACCACTAGTCCCTCAGAGAGTAATATCACTCTCAATACTTGGGGGACCTGGGAATCCTCTGTGATCTAGATTCCCAGGGTTCTGGGACCCCACAGGGCTGTACACAAAGAAAAGGCTTGGTAAACCCTTGGTGAACAAAGAAGTGAAGAAATAATGCATTCCAGGGAAGGCTCTTTCTTGCCCGGGGAATCCAGACAAGAAAAGGGCTCTCTGCGTGGACACCGGCCCTCAGACATCTGTTGTTACTGTTCCAGGTGCCTCTTTATTCCCCCACCAGCACTCCGCTCTAGTTTGGCAAAACCTTGGGGGAGGAGAGTGGGCTCACTGAGGACAGAAACGCTGTAACTGCAGCGGAGCAGTCATCACGGGGCTCCCCTGTACGTGGCTGGAAGACGCCAGCCCGTGAGCTGCTAGCGCCATCATTTTGGCACAACTGGCTCCTTTTTCTCCCAGAGAGGTAGAGGATGATTCTGTAACCCCCACCGCAGGACTCTGAGTCTCTTTTTCACAGTCCCTGCAGGGGGTTCTTTAGCCCAATGTGGAGTCACTGAGACCTAGGTCTAGAGTCAAGCATTTTGCAGGAGGCTTGACCTAAACTCACTGGCCCACTGAGACTAGTGGGGCTCCCTGACACGGGCTGGCATTTACCCCAGACATTTGGTTCCCAGGCATCATGGCAGGTCCTTGACTCAGGTGGCATGGCCGATGAGAGAGGGTCTGCTGCAGGGAGTCACTGAGGTCCTCAGTTTTAATCTGTGAGCGGAGGCAGGAGGAGAGCATTAGTTCTGGGTCATCCCAGGCAGACTGGGACGGAAACTCGGGGAGGACCGAGGCGGGAATGAGTGACAAGCCCAGGGTGTAAAGAACTAGCTCCGTGCCTGCCGGGCTGCAGCTTGACTTCCCTGCCTGCGGTGCCCTTTGGGCCAGGGCAGCTTGCGAGAGACAGAGGTGGGAGGTGCTCTGGAGCAACCGTCTTCAAGATGGGGACTCCACCTGGATCCCTAGTTCCCGAACACCATTCCGGGGCCTGTGCTGGTACATAGCACAGTCTATGCTCTTCCACATTGAAATCCAAAAAGATAAGGATATTGTAGTGACTTTAAACATTTCTTTGAAATTCTGAGGTGACGGTCTTTTTTTCTTGTGTGTGGGGGGGGCAGTGGTGTGTTAGAATTTCTTTTACAAAATGATGGTGATCTTAAATGATATTTTCAAAACTCCCCAGCTCACAAAGTAAAAATAAAATTGTCAACCCTTTACCAATCTCTCTTATATTCTGTTTTTGTTTTGTTTTGTTTTGTTTTAATTTTCCTGGACCATGAAATCCCAAAGTCTGGGAACCAGTTTCACCTCCATCTTCCTTGTTTTCCTCACTTTTCTGTCCTCTGGGTGCTGAGCTGCCTTTGCAGCTAGCCTCTTTGCCCATGTGGCTTGGTGACAGTCCTCGCCTATCTTCCTACAGGCGGGGACATGTCTTCTCCACAGTCACTGCTGTAACTGCAGCCTGAGGGGCCTGTGGTGGTTTCTAAACTCTCTCCAGCCTCTACCACCCTTCAGTGACAGCACCAGCCACCCACCTGTGGGTTTTCCAGGTGTCCAAGGGCAGGGCAGGAAGCATTACTTGTGCCCACCCCTCCTCCCACCCTGAGAACAACCACCCTCCTGCAGCTTTTCAGGAAGTTCATTGTGGGGGGGGGGGGAATAGGGAGTATACAAGTGCCTTTGAATTCATATAATATGGCAGGAAGCATGGGATCTAGACCATACTTTATTAAAAAAGCAGTGGGGAGCCCTCTGATGGAAACTCGTGGCCATAGGGACCCTGGTTTAAACCATTTTCTTGGTCTATATGACATCCTAGAATTACTCCTGTCTGCATTAGTCTAACCCAATTAAAAGTTCTGACTAACAACACTACAAATGCTTAATCACTGTGGAAAAATGGTTCTTTGCGTAACTAAAGAAAGTGTTCTCTTGGGGTGGGGAGTTAGGAAGATTCTGTCGAGTGACAGAGAAAGAGGAGGGAGCAAAAGTCCTAAATGCCTTGTACCCAGTAGGAATGAACGCGTGTTACTTGAGTAAAACACACAAATACAGTCCATCTCCCCATCCTCTGGTGGGGAAATACACAAGGATCCAGTGAGAAAAACAGTGAACAGGGAGCTAGAACTCGTTTCCAGTCCTAACTCTGACTCTAAATTATGATGTAACCTTGAGTAATCATTTTATCTCTATGAGACTTGGTTTCCCCAGCTGTTACATGATGCTGCATGATTTCTCTCCCTTTCAGTCCTAAAGTGGAATTATAAATTCCAACTCCATAGTGCATTGGGCAGACTTGGCTAGTCCAGGTTGCTGCGGAGTTCTTAGATAAGGCAGATCTAAACAGCACCAGGAAGTCCTGGTGGCACCAAAACTGGGAAGAGGACACTTCTTTTAGGGACAATCTTTACAAATCACTCCTCTCTTCTCTCAGCTAAGTAGACAATTCTGGAGGAAGGGAGGGTGACGGGGGTAGCATGGTGAGGGGCAGAGTTAGACATTCTGAAAACTTGAAAGGTATTGCCACCCAGGACTGCTCTCCAGTGCCCCATCTCTACTCCCAGTGCCCTTCAGCTCTTCCACCCACGCTTGGCATGTCCAGATAAGAAGCTCTGGTGTCCTAGTTCTTCCCCCAGAAATTAGAGTTTTCACATCCTAGATTCTGGCGGAACATTTGTTAGCAGGTTTCAAAAAGCTAGAAATAGATGATAAACTACTTATTTCAAACCACCACCAAGCTGAAGGTTTGCTCTGGGAGGAGATCTCGCTCAGGCAGAGAGCCTCTTTGTCCAGCCTCCCTTCCCCACATTTCCCCTCTGTAGCCCCCTCCTGCCCCCGGGGCATCCCTCATCCCTGACCAGGGACAGGTGAGGCAGGATGGAGGAAGGGGGACAGAGAGAGAACACGGAAAACTGGAGCTGAAGCACGCTGGTGGAACCACCGCAGGCAGCCTGGCTCAGCTCCAGCTAGGAGGCAAGTGGCAGGGTTCCTTTATAGACTCATTATGCGCAATGGGGAGATAAGGAGGTGCAGCTATGACGGAGCTGGAAAACATGTGCTTTGCCTCCAACCTGAGTGCTATCTGTTAGAATCTGTGCCAGGTCTTCCTGCAACACTTAATTTCAGAAACCAGAGCCATCATAAAAGAAAACTCACCCTTTCATCTGCTTCTCGGATCAATTGCCCTCCGAAGTCTTGCAGGGGCACTGCCGACCTCCATTTCTGAAAATGAAGTGCCTGATAGCCCCCAGATTCCCCTGGGTGTTAGCCTGGCATGTTCGGACCACTCTGTGCGTTATTCTTGGGAGTTTTTTGCTTTATTGACCTCTTACTCTATAATTCCTCACCCCTTGGCTGTGAGCTGCTGACGGTAACCCCCGAAGAAGACGACCCTAAGCAAACAAATCTGAAAGGCAATAAAGCAGACGACTTTTTCTGTGACAAGTTCTGACATCTCTGCTTCGGTCGGTGGGTCTCCGAAAGAGCAGAGCTGGACTGGGAAGGGAAGAAGACACATCAGGAACTCTTCCTGCCTCCGGGACACTTCGACAATTCTCTGAGAGTTCAGGGGCTAAGCAGCTAAGAAATTAAGAAATAAAGTCCCTTCCAAATCCAAAAAAATCTCTTTCACAGCTGTCGAATGGATAAGATTGGAGCCTTTCCAGGCAACTGGGTGTTGGCTGTGGATGGGGAAGATGAGAGATAGAGAGCATTCTGTTGGATCCCACTGACTTCAATGTGAGAACCGGAGGCAAGTTGGATGAAAACCCAATTTCCCCTGTACTTGTGAAAACCCAACCAAACCCACAGCCTGCCTGGAATCGTGAGGAGTGTCTCCAGGGTCCCTTTGGTGCTTCTTCTCGTGCAAGTGGAATTTTTCTCCAGGCCCTGTTTGAGACGGACTAACCCCTGGGGTCATGGGCCGCCCCAGAGGGCTCTGCCCGGTCACAGCTGTCCATTATCCTGCCCATCTATTAGACATGATCCTTCAGCTTAGGATCGTTTCCACCCACTGCCTGTGCAAAGGTGTTACATTGAGTCTTGGGCAGTGATCAGGAAGGTAAAAAGGTATCAAGGGTGATTATCTTCTCTAATCCCAGCGAACTCCCTGACATCACCTGCTTTATAAAGCAACTGCCTCCTTCTGGGAAGAGAGAGCCCCTTCTGAGGAACTGGAAACCTTTCATACACTCCCACCTTGGCTTCACCTCCCAGCCAGGAGGTGAGGGGACAAGTGTTTATCTTCACATTTCACAGAGACCAGGAGTGCTTCAGAGATAGGTGTGAAGCTACGTAACAAGACACGAGCAAAAGCCCGACAAGGGGACGGCCCTCTGGCTGTCCCTGGGTGCTCTTTCTACAAAATAATACTACAAACACCCCAGGGATGGGAGAGAGAACAGACCACAGGTGACGGAAAAGGCGATGTTCGGGCCCAGACACCCACTTGGACCTCCTTATTAACCATCTGTTTGGGGTCACGTGATGGGGCTTGGGGGGCTGGGGTACTCAGCCTTAGCCGCCTCCCCACGACATTTCAAATGGCCCTCTCTCAGGGGGGAAGACAGCCCAACACTAATGAATGTATCGCTGGCGAGGAAAATGATCAAAGCTGTAGTTCCAGTTGCATAACTCGTTTGTGGAAAGTGTTTCATAAACATTTCACAAGAAGGAGAATTTCAAAGCATGAACGTCTCCCAACCTGCCTTCAATTACAGGCAAGATTTTTTTTTCTTTCTCCCCTACTTCTATACTTCTCTTTAGCAGTGAAGAAGAGCTTCTGTTTTGTAACTGATTTATAAAGGGTTGGCAAACATATTGTTCATGAAAAGATCCTAAAAATATATTCCAAGCAGTGGAATGAGGCAGGCAAGTAACTCATCTCAGGTGAGTAAGGCTGAGAGTCCCTTAAGAGATACCGGCTGTATTTTCGCTTGGGGTCTCTCCTTTCTCCATGGCTCTTGGTATATCTTTGGACGTCTCTGGAATGTACCTGGGGAGATGGCCTCGTCCAGTCCCTGGTCTCTAGTCAGACCTACACAGACCAGCCTAGACGTATCTTTGCCCACACGCATGGGGACCTTCTCCCCGACAGCATCAAACTTCTAGACAAAGGAGCGATGGAAGCCAGGACACATGGGTCTCTGGGGCCATGCTGAGTTGCTCCTTCCCCAAAAGCTTTCCAAAGAGGCATCCTTGTTTTTCCTGCTTGCACCTTCTCTGGAAATGCAACAAGCTTATCAGGGATGTTATTTAATACTTTGTCTTCAGTTCTCAGGACACAGCATTACTAGTGCTGACACAGGTCTGAAAAAACCCCATCATTTTAAGCCCATAAAACTTTTCCTCTCCCTCTGGCGTATAGGTCTGCGAATTCGAGTTTAAAGACTCTAGGAAGGGGCTGTGCTGTCTTTGAGGACACATCCTCACAGGTGTCTTATGGTGCCCAGGGCTTAAACAGCTTTAACCATTGTACCGCTCTGCAGTCGTCTAGAGACGCCAGTGGCATCTGCTTCCGGTGGTGAGCTGGATGGATGGCAGCTCTCTTTTTTGACCTTGTTCTCCTGGTCGTCTGCCTGGTAGACGAGAGCACAGAGCTGCCCTCTCTGGTTCTTTGGCTGGGAAGGAGCAGATTACTGTTGATTTGCTCGCATAGGCGACTGTTCTGTCCCCCAGTAAGTGGAGTGGCAGGAGGGAGGGGTGGGGTGGGGTGCGGTAGGGGGAGAAAGGCTGAGCATGGTCTCTGAACCAAACTCTGCAAACTGTTTGCCAGGGGCTATTCTTGGGAATCCTCTGGTGTGTGGATGCTGGTTGCCATCACTCTGGGTTCTCCTGCACACCTCCGGACTGCCTATCCTGGGAGGACTTTGCAAGCTTTTTCAGAGCAGAGACATGTGGGGAGAAATAAGACATCCAGGAAATAAGCACAAGGCTCAGAATCAACCAGGAGACCTGACTTCTGGCTCCATCCCTGCCTCTGAAGACCTGCACGATCTAATATTTAGTTACTTCACTCACCTCTCAAGGCCTAGATTATTCCTCCACAAAAGTAAACTAGCTGGAACCTACTTAAGAAATATATAATGTATAAAAGAGAGAAGGGGAGTAGGTGTGTGAGCATATGAGTAGGTACATTGTGTCAACAGACCCATTTTACAGATGAAAAGACAGAGGCTTGGAACTACTAAGAACCTTGTTTAAAGTTACACTGGTGGTAAATAATAGATCGGGGATTTCAGTCCAAGTGTATCTGATTCCATAGTTCTTCCACATAAACTTGACCTCTGTGTGTGAGAGACTCATTGAATCACAGACTCTTCAAGGTAGCTTAGTGCAGATCATGCCAGGTGCGTGGCAGACATTCAACGAGTGTTGGGTCCCACCTTTCCCCATTAGAACTGGAAGGAAATGTAGTATCATCTGGACCAAATGGCTCGTTTTACAGCTATGACTCCTAAAGTCCAGAGAGGAGAAATCACCTGCTCAGGGCAACACACTAGAGTTGCAGCCAAGCCAGGCCTGGAGACTAAGCCAGGGCCCAAAAAGACAGGTCTCCTATCTCCCCACCCTGCACTCGGTCTGTTCCACAGCCCTGCGGCATGGCTTTGTCTTCTATTTCTATTAGCTAATGATTTTGCCTCTTTTGCCTCCTGTAGTAACTGAGTAGTAACCCTAATCCCATCGTGCTAATAAGATTTAATCTCACTCCTGATTCAGAGCTCTCAATTACTCCACAGGGTAAAGTTTATATACAGATAAAGCACGCATCTACTTGATGTGTAACCTAATACGCTGGGTTTGGGAGCTAGCATTCTGTGTTCCCTTGACTCTCACATGTACGACTTAACTCCAGGGCACTGATATTTGCTCTTTCCCTCCCTCACCATGAGAAAGAGAGGTAGACAGGGCAAAGAGAAGGCTCAGTCATGCCATATAATCCCCATACCAGGGTACATTTCACTCTGAGGTCCAAAATAGACTACTGAAAGGAAGGACCGATGCTGGCTTGTCCTGGACACACATGCACACGAGCACACACAGCACCGACTTCTCCTTGTGAAGCACCGCACAGATTAATTCCAGAAAAAGTGACATTTTAAAAGCACTTTTGAGACTAAAAAGCACCTTCAAATGTATTTTCATATATTCTTCATGATAATTCAATGAGGGAAATAATCTTGTCAAATCATTTTTACAGATGCACAAAACGGGACTAGGAGACTTTAAGTAACATGTCCCATCACACAGCCAGGCAGAGCAAGAGCCTGACTTTCTATTTGGGTCTTTAGCCTCTAGGTCCCCCTCTCTTGCCTATACCACTCAAGACAGCCCCAGTGTATTCCCACCCAGAACTTTCCACCTGAAAATGAGCTTGTTTTCCTCTGTCTGACTTACTTCACTTAGTCTGATAATCTCACTTATATGCGGAATCTAAAGAAAAAGACACAGGTGAACTTATTTACAAAACAGAAACAGACTCACAGACATAGAAAACAAACTTATGGAAAAGAGGGGGAGGGATACATTAGGCATTTGGATTAGCAGATATAAACTGCTATATATACAATAGATAAACAACAACGTCTGACTGTATAGCACAGGGAGCTATATTCAAAAGCTTGTAATAACCTATAATAACCTATATATATATATAACTGAATCATTTTGCTGTACACCAGAAACTAACACATTTAAATCAACTCTACTTCAATTTAAAAGCAAAACGAGCTTGTTGACCTCTGCCTCCCCTGCAGGCCATGCTGCTTTCATGTGCGGTGCACAGTTGGTGAAACATTCCCACAAGTGTAGCCTGGGACTTGTACATGTATGTGGGACCTACATAGTTACTGAAAGTAAACTTTGAATGGGATTCTTTTTGGCATTCTCTGGGTGACTGCCTGTGACCTGGAAGCCTATCTCTGAAAGCCTGAGCACTGGCCTTAAATGCATGTCAATGGTTTTCCCTGGTAACTTTCATAATTGAGAATAATCTTCTAAGTAAGGTTGAGGTCCCTGGCTCTTGCATTCCTGGGGCACCCTAAACAGAGCGAGGCGCCTCTGTGGCCCTCTGACAACAGTTCTGCTCCAACAGCAGTGGAGAAGACGGTCTTCCATGTAGCATGCTTTAAACAGAGGTTTTCCTGTCCCCTAAAGTTCCCCTTACTCGGTTTAGTTCAATAAAATTTAACATGCACCTATTGTACACCAAGAGGAACTGGGACACAAAGATAAATAGGGACCTCTTGGACTAATTAGGAGGCAGCAACTAAAGAAAGCAATCACCTACAGTGCAGTACTTATAGCAGTGAGAAGGAGCTCTGGTGGTCTCATGGAGAGGCTGGGATTGGCTTTGTCAGGGCAGAGGATCGCTAGACAGAGGGCAATGAGGTAGGAAGGCTCCACAGA